GTATCCAGAACTCCTCTCTGCAGACAGCAAAATTGCTATCATCTAGCCTCTTTGATCCGCTGCTTAATAAATAGGCCTGAAAGGGAGGAAGTACCTGCCCTCTACAATTAACCCACCTTAAACCTAAAGGCTAAAGATTGGTACACATTGGGCAAATATTGACTGGTATCATCCAGTTCAACAGAAACGTGTACAGCAGCCTGTCCGACAGAAGCCGGCCTAATGACCAGCTTGTATTGAACGGGCATGCTGGAAAAGCAGCATCCGATCAGCACTTGCACTTAGTACAGTGACCTCTCAGTTTTTTTCTCATTCAGCTCACTGGGTTGAATGAAAAAAAAAAACTCTGTGTGTACCAGGCATAACTCTCCACAGTTGTGAATTGGTTAATTTGTGTGATACAGAATATACAATGTTCGCTCATAGGTGAACCCGTACACATAACTCCAAGCTCCAATAAATGAGCCAAGATCAGCCTACATAGATATAACTATCTGACTCAATAATATCCATAAGGTCTTGGGCAGGGCCGATGCTTCCACTAGGCAAACTAGGCGGCCATCTAGGTCACACTGCCACCTAGGGGCACCTTAATGCAGCACAAGCTGGCACTCTCTCTGTGTGGGTGCCACCACATCATGAATGAACCTTCAGCTGAAAGTAGGGAAGGCAGATGGGAGGAAGAAAGGACAGAGGAAGATGCCGGGTGTCTGGGGCCAGCGTAGCAGCGGAGCTGCTACTCCTTCCACTGTTCCTCTCAGACTCAGTCCCTTACTGCAAGCTGGCTAGTGGCTGCTGCTGGAGTTCCAGCTCTTCTCTTCCCATTCATCGGAGGCAGAGCTGTGCCTGCAGAGGAAGGTAATGTCTGATTCTGATGTCTCATGTCTGTGTGAGTGTGACTCATTATAGATCCATTATCCTCCACCTACTGCAGCTGCCACCCTGCCACTGCCAGCCACAGATACAGTCTGTCCGTGACACTGATTTTGTCTTTAAAATTGGTGCTGGTGGCATCTTATGGCACTTATTTTTACTTTAAGAGTAGGAAGAGTTTGTAAGAAATGGAAATGAAAGAGAAGTCGAGAAAGAAAGGAAAAGAGTAAAGGTGCATCTATCCTGGGATGCAATGCCAATAGGTCTTGGAGCTACCCCTAGACATCTGGAACCTGTAGGTAAAAGCGCCAAGAATTCCAGCTTGTTTGTTTATCCTGTAGGATGCTCACAATCTTTTCATTGAGCATGATACAGGTCAATTTATGCTTCATCAAGGCCAGATCAATCACTAGACTTTTCCAGGCGGTCGCTATGGTGATTTTGGCCACCAGGAACATAACATGTATCAAAATAAAAATTATTTATTTACTTCAGGTACATATATAGCAGCATCCATTTATGCAGTGCTTTACATATATATATTGTACATTCACATCAATCCCTAACCCTCAAGGGGCATACAATCTAAGGTCCCTAACTCACATTCATACATACATATATACTAGAGCCAATTTAGACAGTATGCAATTAACCTACCAGCATGTCTTTGGAGTGTCTTTGGAGGGAGGAAACCGGAGTACCTGGAGGAAACATTACCTATTCACATTATGGCTTTCAGAGAATACCTTGCTTTTCAAAATAGCGTGATTATTTATTTGCTAAATTTTATAACAGAAACTAAGAAAAACTTGTTTTTTGTTAAGATGTTTTGGTATTTTCTCGTTTTATATAGCAAAAAATAAAAAAAAACCCACTGGTGATTAAATGCCACCAAAATAAAGTTCTATCTATCTCAAGAAAATGCTAAAAATGTAATTTGGGTACAGTGTTGCATGGCAAGACTCTAAGTGTCATTCTACGTGTGACAGCCCATGGCTTGGGCAAAAAGGGAGTGAAAGTGTCTGGTATTGAGATGGTTAATGCATTCTCTGCATTAAGCTAAAAAAACCTTCTGTGCACAGGATTCCCCCTCAGCCCCCCATATACTTACCTGAGCCCTATCTTGATCCATTGCTGTACCTGAAAGCAGTGGCTTTCTAAGCTCTCTCTCTTCACAGGGCAGAATGATAGCACCAGGTGTAAGGGAGGGTTATAACTTTTAACCCCCCCTTTTTTGCCATCTGTGTCCCATAAGGAAGATTTCCCTTCACTTCCTGTCCCATAACCAAAACAGGAAGTGAAAGAAATCCTTTGAAAGTGAGGGAATACTGGGTCACCAGAACTAGTGATCCCATTGAAAAATTTCACCATTATTATTTTGGTGTGAACCAAAATTTGGGATTTTCTTTTACTTTCACTTTCGATGAAAACTGTAAACAGGACAAATAGAGAGGGTGAATCTCCCTAATAGGGGCACAGACAGCAATAAAAACCTGGCAAGTGTTCTATCCCTCTTCACTCTATCAAAAAAAAAATGCTTTGCCTTTAGTTGCACTTTAAAAATATTTTTGTAGGAAGTAAATTAATTACATGAAAAACTTAGACAGATGTAATGTATTAAGTACCCTTTAGCTTGTGAATTTCAAAATGTCTCATTTTAAGGACCTTTGTCTGATTTTCTGATCATTAGTGGGGTAAAATCAACATTTATTTTTGACCACCATGATGAGAAAATTCAAAGGAACTAGATGGGTTTTTTTTTCTAAAATGAATGCAATTCCAATAGTGTATGTGGTTTTTGTTCACTAAAGTCCATTCCTTCAAAAATCGAATGTTAATGCAAACAAAATTTTGAACCACTTTTGAGCAGCATTTGTCAAGCCATGGAATGTACTGAGAATCTTTCTACAATTTTCATTCAAAAATATACTAGTTTATACCCAGCTGAAGTCAACTGCCTGAAATCAGTGTTTATAACATGTTGTTGAATGCTAGAATAAAGTTGCAGTGGAAATGGCCACTCTATAGGTTGTTGGGTAGGAACGTACAGTACTTAGGTGTGTGGGCACAAAAAGGGAAAAGAGCTAATGGTGGGTGTCACCAGTGTGTTTCCAAAAAAGAGCAAACAGGAGGCTCAGACTCCAGAAGTGAAAGATCTGAAAAATGATCATCTTTATGTTATGCTTTATGTTATGAAGCAGCATAGCATGCCAGAGGTAGGTGGGTCACAAAGTACATGCATGACTTATAGGGGGAGATTTACTAAAACTGATGCACTCAGAATCCGGTGCAGCAGTGCATGGTAGCCAATCAGCTTCTACCTTCAGCTTGTTCAATGAAGCTTTGACAATAAAACATGGAAGCTGATTGGTTTTTGTGCAGAGCTGCACCAGATTTTGCACCATACAGTTTTAGTAAATAACTCCCATAGTGTGTCATTTAGAAACATTCCTATAAATGCATTTAATTATGTAGTTGTTGGTTTGGAGTTCTCCTTTTAATGGTGAAAGACATGATTATATTTTTTTTAGTATAATGCTGTTTTAAGAGAAAGAATAAAAAGTATTTTGAGTCTCTGGAAATAATTTTTTTCTGCTGTTTCAGTAAAACTCACTTTGGTAATAATATTTTTGAAATGTGTTTTGGCTTTATAATTTGGCTTGTCGAGCCTCCAGAACATGAGTTTTTCCCCTGTTGACTATTTTATATCCATGGATGACCTAGCCATTATGATAGGCTTTTATAACCCCTGTGTCACCATAGAGGTGTGAGATGTCACAAGTGATCTTCTCATAACAAACGAAAGATTACTCTTTAGTGAAACACTCAAGACAAATCCTTCTGTGCTTATGGATAACATCTCAATTAAAAAGAGATAAACATGGATCAAATTAAATAATATGATATGTAAAATGCATTTGTAAACCTTAAAAGCTATGTCAGACAAAGCTGGATGAATCATTATATGTATCTAAGCCATTTGTTCAAAAGAAAATCCCTTGGACTGGTGCTTCCAGCTTGGTGTTGACACAATGAGAATAGGTGTAGCTTGTTGACAACATTGAAACCTGAATTGGCTCTGCTCAATGTGTGGAATAAAGTTGGCTCTGTTTGAAGTATGTTAATTTAGCCAATTCAACTGTGAGTTGTTCATCATGTGGACAATATATTATTATCCCATCTGTTTCACATTACATTTTCCAGCCTTAGAAAATTAGTTGTGAGAGAATAATAACAGCAGTACATATGAAGCATGCATGTTACACACCAATTAAACCTCTATCCAGTATCCAATTAAAATGGCTGCTCATTTCTGTGAGCTGAAAAGGTTAAGCCATGTCAGAATGTAAAACATCCAGACACTAGTTAAGCACCTGATATTGTTGCATGAATTGAAGAAAAGCAAGCATGGAGGGCTCACAGCAAGAAATGGCAGCTATTGGGAGTATGCATAACAAAAATCATGTTGACAGACATGAATGAGGAAATTAAATGTGAGACCTGCTAATTATTGGTCATCAAGAAAAGTAAACAGTAAGGAATGGCTCTGCAGCCTCTTTTCTAGGGATTTTTTCTTTCTACGGAAACTTGCCAGTTCAAAGAAGCAAATGTTCTGCCTGAGTGCCTGGCTCTGTCTGAATAACTATGGCTGTGGTGTGGATTTCATTGCATTCCAGGTTTGGTAATCTGCTTTGCACAAACTAAAATGACTTTAACAAAATCCTTCATTTTATTCCATGCCAGGGTTTCCTCCCATTCTCATATATTAGCCAAATTAAATGGAAAACAATATAATGCAGATAACTGTGTATTTGGGTTGTGTGACAGTTGCCTTTACAAGCAGGTCTTTTCAGGTGCATGTACGTGTGTGTTTGTTAATAATTTAATTTGGTTCTCATCAGGGGTGTAGCTGTGAAGTAGCATGCATTAGGACCAATAGAAACAGTTTTATAGTCTTCTCTTTGTTTTAAAAAGCCTGCCTGTTTGCATTTTTTTCAAGTAAATCCCCACTTTAAAGAGGCCATTGGGTCAAGCCTTACAGCTAACGCACCAGGATAAGGATACTTAAAGTGTTACTACACCCAGGACCCTGCATTCACTATATCTGGTCTCCCACAGTACACAGAACATGGAAATGCAAATATTTTAGTAAATATAAACTGCTAAATACCTTTTCTCATCAGCAGTTAGAGCAGTCTTTTGACTTCTATCAATGTCCAGCAGAGCACTGGTCAAACAAATTAGTGTAGCACCTTCCTTTTACCTAAAACTATTCATAAAGTTGTACACATTTGCAAAAAAGTCAGTTGTGGGAAGGAGTGCCAAAAGGGGAATACTCATCATATTCTATCCCATATAGAGGACACAAGCCTGGTGTGACCAAAACATTGTATAATGTGAGGTCAGAAAGCTCCATATGAGAACACAATTTGGGTGTTGGTGGAGAAACACTGTTTCATGTCTTATAAAGATAAAGTGGTGAAAGATTAAAGCTACGTCAAGATCTATGGGACTTTATATATCTACTATTGTGCACATGATTTTTTTTTTGCAAATGTGTATATATTTATGAATATTTTTAGGTAAAAGAAAGATGCTGCACTCATTTGTTTGTCTAGATTTAAACACATTGATGAGTATGTGAAGGGTGTAAGTGACTTTAATTGGAGTGATTATTGATTTTTATTCATTTTTTTCTGTTTTGGGTGCTCACTGGATTTCTAAATATTTACTGGTTAAAGTTTGTAGGTAGAGTTTTCATTCTCCTCTCACTGTCCTATAAGACTGCAGGACCCCTGACCCTCTGTCTGGACAATGCTGGTTGGCCTTGTGCTGGTCACATGCACTCTTCCAAGAAAAAACTCTAGCAATACACACAAAACTGAGCATGTGCAGCATACCCCCAAGGCTCTGTTCTATCAGGAGATGAGTCGGCGACAGTTCAAGAAGGGGAGGATCAGAGAGGACAGGATCAAACATCCTTTTTACACAATGCAGAAGATTAACCCCTTAAGTTCCACATTGAGTTTAACAAGCATGCTTTGCTGCATATACAGACTGACTTTACTGTTGTGGGTTTGTAACACTTTAAACCTGAACTAGACCTTCTTATCCTTACAGTCAAGGAAGCCACTGTATTTAGTCTGTGGCTGCCTTGGTGCTGCTCATGTGATGAGTTATGATACCAGCCATTTGATGACTTTACAGTTTCATTGAGCGCACAAGCAAGTGAGACAGTCACCATTAATGGCATTCCTTGAATGTAACAGTTTTGGGAAATAAAATTTGAAAATGGTACTCACATGGCTAAAAATAGAGTGCCTCAGGCTTGTGTAAAGCTTTGTGAATAGAGCCTCTGTCTCTAGAAAAAAAATAAAGTGTGATGCCTGCACATGCCTGCTGCACCTACAAAAATCCAGTGGATACTTCCAAATCTTGGACCATTCAGACAGGCAAAGCTCCAAAATACCTGGTTAGTGTCAGAGCTTTCCATAAACCCTTCCCTCTTACATTCTTATTGGCCCCTGATTATGATAGGATGCATTAATAGCCAGTGTTAATGTATGAGAGTCACCAAGAGGCAGGCAAGCTTCAGCACTATTAGGATGGGACAAAGATTTGTGTGTCAGAACTGTCTGCAATCGGTTGTATCTATAGGCTTTTCTACAGCTGCTTTAGGTTTGTCCAAAGACCTCTAGGTCCCTGTACTTTTATACCAGCAGCAGTGTATTTTTTTTTTAGTGTTTTATGGACATAATATCTTTAGGTGAACTTGCAAACCTTTTTAGACTTTAACTAGTGGTAATTGCCCTATATATTAGCAGTCAACACAGCTTTTTAGTCAGAAATATTACTATTATTTATTACTTACCTACATATACAAAAGGATGTGCTTTGCTCATACAGATGGCAAGTCAGTGCTGTCCTCCGCACAGAGCCGCAGGCAGCTGCTTGTGCATCTACCTTGGATCTGTGTGAAGGCAGCCCATAGAAGTGGATGTGCACGCAGTGGTGGCATGGACACAATTACATGTAAAAGTTTAACGTGTGTGAAGGAACAGGTGCACAGATCTGAATCCAGAGGCTCTGAAAAAAGTGTGTTTTCTTATGTGTGGAATATTCTTTGTCCACAAAATGAGTTGTGCTAATATGGTTAGAAGAAAGATGGTAGGCCCATTCATACCAGAAGTTCCTGAAAACAGCATTAATAGGCATTGATTGTTTTAAAGTGCTTCCTTAAAAAATGTCTTGAGTTTTTTGGTACCTTTAGCATTTCACTACTTTTAAGTTTTTTATTAAGAGAAAAGCATTTATATTAATTTAAAAGACTCTCTCTTACAATCCAGTTGTTGGCAATGCATGTCAGTTCTTTTAATGAGTGTTTTCAAGTGTTTTAAAAAGCCCTGTCATATAATTGAATAGGAGGAGAAAGTGCCATAAAATGCTGCATGTAGAAATTTTATTCAACACCCTTTTGCACAATAACTTTGTGGGAAGCATCCAATTTAAAATAATGCAATCTCTTGTGTACAGGCATTTTTACTAGTGCTGGAAAATCGCTATACTGTGAGGAGGCTGATGAGCATGAAAAAATATGCAAAACAAAATATCCATGGCAGCAAAGTATGTTTGATATGCATCTCTATACATAGCCTTATCCAGACTGTTATAAACCTTTTCCCAGAATGAATATTTTATTTCATATTTTAGGTATTGTGATAAATGGCCACAAAAACGGGGGAGGATATACTGGTTAAGGAGTCAAGGAAACAATGAAAAGGGATGTTTACACCTATTGCAGCTCTGCTTTAATGTAGAACCCAAGGGAATAAGGTCTGGGAGACTGAATGTCTGATTCTTGGATAAACAGGTAATTTGTTCACGATCTGGATGCTCTTGACAGACCATTAAAAAGGTCATATATCTAAGTAAGAGTGTACATCTGGTAATCATATTTAAAACAGCTGTTTTGTAAAAAGAGCACATAACCTTTTTTCTAATAAAAAAGTACCTGATCAAGTAGGGTAAGCAAATGCCCAAAGAACAAGATAACAATGGAAAATTGCAAATAGAGACAAGCGTAGAATGAAACATTTGCTCAGCTGGCTGTGTGCCTGATCCACTTCTGTAAGTTCTTCTTAGACTCCTTTCATAGCAGCGTTCTGTCAGTTCACTTTTGGCCTCTGATTACATGGATCAAAAATGGACTGCAATGTATTCCTATGGGTGGCCAGATGTAAGCCGACAAGCATTTGCCTATATTCACGCACATATGGGTCTCTTAAAGATTGTCAAACCAAGCTAAAATAGTCATTGTCCAGGTCTGCTTTTACTGGCTTGACTGGCAGATAGAGGTAGACACTTACATGCGGACACACATACAGTAGGCATTACATGGGTCCCTTTTTCTTCTTCATAAGATTGAAGAATGATCATAATAAACCTGGATGTCTCATATGGGACATCTGTTTTTATTCTGATCTGATGCAGCAGGAGATCAGTTTAAGATCCCCTGCAGAGACAGAATGGAAAGCACCCATGTGAAAGGGGCCATGTAGAGTCAGATCCACTGTTCCAATTTTCTTTGGTTCATTTGTAGTCAGGTACCATTGTTATTTTATGATAGTACAGTGTAGCTTTAAATATTCTGAGTGATTGCTGCAGGGGTTGGACCATGTGTAACTTCTTCCTCTGCAGATGTGTCACATCCTGTCTGTTCTGGGGTGTATAAACATCTGCAGATGACTGCCCAGACTGGCCCAGGATTGTTGTCCCATGGGAGTTCATCTGTCAGAACATACTTCTGCTATGTGATTCCTTCTGTTCTGTCCACAACTCAAAAGGGCCCATCTTCCGGGACTCCAGTTGCTATGGACTTTATTACTCTCAGGAATGGGCTGCACTATGCTCTCTATGCACCTTTTTCCAATGTGAAACTGCTAGGGACAGTGTTCTGTTACAGCAGTTTGGCCAGTTCTACCTCAGCCCTATTATGCAAATCACTTGTACATGTATGTGAAGAGTGATGTTAGATGTACCTGTAATTCTAACATTCATCAGTAAAATGAACTTTAATCAAGCAAAGTGAGTGTCTTTGAGTAACAGAAATGTCTATTATGGGATAAGTGTAACCTTAGTGTATTAGAAGAACCTTGGTCTCCAGATTGAGAAGCCTTGTTCTGCTGCAGGACATTTGCACTGGATTAACCTTTGTGACACACACATTTAACCTTCGGGATTGGGACACACTTTTAAGAAATAGCAACCAAACTGAATGGAAGCGGGTGACTGTGGCAGGTGATTATGGTTTTGTTTGGTGGGAGGATAGGTGCACTTTATGTCCCCCACCTCATGGCTTAGTATACATATTGGAACCTGCTGTGGTGCAAGGTCAGCTAATGGATCTCGCTTGGAGAGTCAGGAGAGCAAAGGTATTTCAGTAACCATAAATTGGTGGCTTCCTGTGATGTGAGCCTCTACAAGTGAAGTGAATACAAAATACAGTGGTGATCAAGTGTTAGATGTCCAGTGAGGACACGAGAGTCTAGTGAAGAGTTGGTCGTGCTCTACATCCTGATCCTGAAATGCTAAAGGATGTCAAGAAACAGAAAGGAGTCTCAGGGCACCTGTTGGATCCAGGCATGAAGAGGTTAAATGCTTGGAAATCAAAATGTGAGCAAATACTTGAATGGGTTGTGTTTTCTAACCTGGGAACAAACTCCCTGTTTCAGTGGTCCTGCCCACAGTCTGATCCACATTCAGATCCTGCTCCAGAGGCCACCTCCTACACTCCTGTTTTAACCCCATTTTTGCTGACAAGCTTGCCACAACAGGTTGCAGGGCGTTTGTGGTGCTTCCACATTGACTTGAATGTGTAACGATCCATCGATGGCTACATGTGAACACTGCTGCGTGCATGAAGAATCATGCCCACGGCATGTAAACATCCCTGTTTGCTGCCTGTTGCAGCTTAAGGGGGGATGGTTGGTGGGTGGCAAAAAATTACTCAGCCATGCAGTTTTGCATCCCTCCTCCAACTGCAAGTCTAAATGAGTCCTTACTGTTAAAATACACAATACAAAAATATGGCTTCCACCCACACTGACCAGTACCAGCCTTTTGTCACCAGGCTGCTATACTTTTCACAAGAGGGTCGCCTGCATGGTGTGTAAAGTGACTGCTGCTATTCCTTTTACCATTCTATCTAAAGCTGGCTATATACAGAGCAAAGTTTGACTGGTTGACAAACCAGATGAAATTCAAGCCATGAATGGTCCTTCTGGCATCCACTGATCCACTGACAACTTTCTGAGACTTGTTGGAGCTGGGCAGAAAATTGTTGGCTGAACAGTGGCTGCATCTAATCTTGTACAGGTATTCTAACAGTTGGGGTTGCCTGTGTCATTGGATTGAGTTTAGTTCTCTGCACTAGTCTTGTGACAGTGTATCCATCCCTCAATGTATCAGTGAGGCCTCGTACCATACGTGGAGAAAGACTGATGTAAACTGACGTTCAGATTTCACTTGCAGAAACATCAGTTTTCATGAGCGCTTCAATTAGTTTTATACACCTTGCAGATTCCTGCACAGGAAAGCAGGAAGAGAACTGATTTTGTTGTGTCCTTGCAGAAAAATGGTGTGAACAAGAACCTAATTGTCCATTCTTATAATACTGCAGAGTCTTATCTGCTTTGTGGTGATATTCTGCAATGTAAATCTTTGTCTTTATCTCCTATTCACACATACACATGAAAATTCATGAAGGTAAAGTGTTGTTGTCTTTTTAAAAAGATGTTCCACTTTGAAACATGTTAAGTGTTCCACCTGCTTTTAGTGTGAAACATGTAACCAGTTACACAGTTACAGCATCTGATCCACCCTCCCTTTGACAGTGGGTGGTGGATCTTCTCCCAGCACCCTCTGTCACAATTTGAAAATAATGTGGCCATGCTCCACCAACACGCTGTGCCATTCATTCAGTTTCCTGTGAATTAATGCCTACAATGGCAGAC